TAATGTTTTATTTTATAAGAAATAAATTTCCGCTAAAAACTTTTACTATAAATGCAATTGCTGCGGTTTGCAGATGTTGTCCAGAAATAACAACGATTTATTTGCTGGTAAGGGCAAAGAAACAGAAGGATCCGCAAACTCGATTTAAAGAGTATTTCAATGATGTTGTGAGTAATGGTAAACAATATGTATTTATTATGATCGTAATAAAAGATGTCACCAGTATTACAATTTATATTTAAATCCTTAGATTTTTGATAGGTTAAAGAGAGAGCAAAAAGATGTTGAAAAGAAGATTATTGTGATTGAAGGAGACACGAGTCTATTGAATGTAGGATTGTCAGAGAGGGACCGCGATCGCATTAAAGATACCGATGTAATTTTTCACAGTGCAGCATCAGTACGTTTTCTGGACAATATTCGTATTATAGTTAATACAAATATTAGAGGAACAAGGGATCTTCTCTTGCTTGCACAAGAGATGAAAAGCTTAAAGGTATTTTTTTCCTAGTTAAATCATCCGTATAAAAATTCGTATGTTTAAGCACAGTTCCCGACTAGATCAATTTATTTATATATAAAACTTAGTTTAATTCTAAAAATAAATTGTTCTAATTTTATAATAATTTTGTTCTTTAGGCCTTTGTTTATGTTTCAACAGCTTACTCGCACTGTGTTTATAATAAAATCGAAGAAAAATTGTATAAGCCACCTATGAAGACAAAAGACATAATTAGATTGACAGAGATTTTAACCGAAGACCAATTAGATTTAATCACCCCAAAGTAATAWAACATGAAACCTATTGCATTCTTTTAGACATTAGTCTATAGGCATATTCGTTTGTTYTACAGGCTACTGGGGAAGTGGCCTAACASTTACGCATTTTCAAAGGCAATCTGTGAAGATACAGTACGGCAATATTCTAATGGAATTCCAACTTGCATTGTTCGGCCATCCGTTGTTGTATSMACAGAARAGGAACCAATTGCTGGCTGGATAAACAATTTSAATGGWWTTACAGGTGTTGTTTTTGGTWCCTCRAAAGGTATTTTACGAACACTGTATTGTGATAAAGACTTAACTATCGATATGATTCCTGCCGATTATGTTGTCAACAACATTATTGCTGCAGCATGGGATGTTGCACAAAAWCGGTAATTTGTATCTCCTTTTTTTATGTACTACTAAAATAGACTTTTACTTAATCTCTTAAAATATCATTTACATTAAATAAGTTAGAACTTTTTTTGCAGATACATATCACAGAGTGTTAATGTTTCCAGCAGTGATAATAAGTACTTACCTGTTGACGATGAGATTCCAGTTTATAATTCTGTTTCCTCCGTTCAAAGACCAATTACTTATGATACTATAATGAGAAATGTAATTTTTGAGGGACTTCAAGTCCCGTCGAAAAAAGTGCTTTGGTACGGCTCATTATGGCCTATCAAAAACTATTATTTCTATATCTTTATGACRATTTTTTTACACTGGATACCAGCAATAATAGTGGACTCTTTTTTATATCTCAGTGGAAGAAAGCCAATGTAATTTATAATAATATTTTGATTAAMAAGCTATTTATTATCCGTCGATGAAATAGAGCATAAATAAATTAATGGCTTTTTTTTTAGACTGCTAAATGTCTACAGAAAAATAGAGAAGTTTAAACATRTAATRAGTTTCTTYWCAATGAATGAATGGGAATTTACAAACGATAATGTCTTGAAGTTATGGGACAAATTATCTATTGTAGATAAAAGTAATTTCTTCTTTAATGTTGCTGATATTGATTGGAAGTGTTTTTYTATTACTTACATCAGGGGATTGCGAGTATTTTTAATTAAAGACCCAATGGATACGGTTGAAGAATCRAGACCTTTTTATAGAAGGTAAATGTTTTATTATCTTTTTTTTATGAAAAATATTATCTTTATCCTATGTATAATTAATTACTCTTTTATTGTTTATCGTTTCCAGGTTGATAATAGCTCATTATACGTTGAAGTGGTTTAGTTATTTTTTGATTCTTTGGATTTTATATTCTTTATTATATTTTATTTTTACTTACATGTTTTATTTTTGACAATCTGTGAAAAACGACAACAAAATRATCTKTTYATAATTATTAGCAGATAGAATAGGATAATGGTTTTYTTAGAATATAAGTAATTTTCCCTATAGGTTTGAAATATTTTTGCTATTAGATTCATTGTCTTCATTTTTTGAAGAGAAGATGTCTACACGTTAAAACTATTAGCAATTATATAGAWGTACGGATCTGTTTTTATAGTTCAAATAATATGTGATGATTATAAGTGAAATGATAAAATGTTWAATGTTTACTTAGAATGATTAAGAACGTAGAAAAAATGGAAATAAAAAAATAAAAACTTATCCATCGGTCCTCTCTCATAAAGAATACAATAACTACAAATAGTTCCTTATAAGAAGAAATTCCTTAACTCCTAACATTTATATAACCMATTACCTCTTAGGCACTACGCACCACTATACTGACTTTCGCGGATGACATCTATTAAAATATATCATATTATGTAATACATGTAATATTAATTATTAAAATAAATTTTTAACGTTAGACTATATGTGATATATTTTAAAGAAAAATTATTATTCTACCAATAAATACTTTATTTTAATATACTTTYGTAGAGAACGGCATTGTCTGTTGAACCCTTTTGTACAAAAAAACAGCTCCGCGCAAAGTTCAGCAGTGCTTAAAAAATTAAAATAATGCGAATAATATGTAATTACGAATGCTGCATCGATAATATGTTTATATATTTAATAGAAAATCTTTACATGTACAATTCTTTAAAAATAGTTTAAATGGATCGTTTATTTTGAATGTGGTTTAAGTCTATTAAAAAAAAAAAAAAAGAGATATCACATAATTTATGCTTAATTTATTGTAAACTTTTTATGTGGATAACTAGTTAATATTTAACTTCTTAAAAAGTGCCCATGTTTTATACAATTTAAAATTGGTCGGCAAAAGAAATTGAGTAATCATTGATATGATAATCTTTAATTATCTCAAAACAAGAGAAAGTGGACTTAACCACTTTCAAAACGATCGGTCTAAATGTTTTAATTAAAGTTAAAAATCTATGACCGCCCATGTATTTGATAGACATTCAATTATCGATTGTGAATAAMTAAATATATGTGACAAAAAAATGATGTCCGAGAGTTAGAAGTATGTCAATAAATTTTTATATGAATTTGTTAACTATTCGTCATTAAGTACGAAATGTCTGATTTAAGACTGAAAGTTTAGTTTATTATATCTCT